GGGGAGGTGTTGAAGCTGACCTCAGAAGGCTCAAAACGTTGAGGAGGGGTGTGACCTCTGTTCTAGTTCCTGTTTTCAGAACTTTGTATGTATCATTGACACATTTCATTTTTATGGCAACTTCATGAGGTGGGGGCTAGTGTTACCCCCACTGTAGAGATGGAGAAATTGAGGCCTGGAGTAAGTCGCCCAAGGCCTTAAGGCTTAGGTGTAGGCGCGAGGCAGAGCCATCCTTGTAACCATGCACTCACGGCCTGCCCACCACGGAAAAGGAGTGCTGGGGAACCACGTGCTCTGAAACCAGAGGGGCCGGCAGGCGCTGAGTGCATGAGGCATTGGCCGTGGTGAGGGCCTTAAATGCTCCCTGGGGAGCCCTGGGAGGCTTCATTTAAATTGAGCAGGCAAAGAACATGATCAAACTATACTTCTGGCTGCCCCGTGTGGGATGATTTGAGTGTGGAAGCCGTCAAGCACCAGAAGAGGGTCCCAGTGACAGGGACCCCAGGGCCAGCTCCAAGCCCACTGCTTGGGTCTTCCTCAACTTCCTCTGGAGTGGAGTGGACTTTGGAGTGGCAGGGGGCACCGTTGGCCCATCTGCAATGTCCCTTCTTCAAGCCTGAGCTCGGGGTCCAGCGGGGGTCCTGCCTGCGCTTCTCACCCCTTCCCTTCCCCCACACAGGGCTTCACCCCCATGACGGTGCCAGACCTTCTCCGAGGAGCTGTGTTTGTGAGTGAGGACTCTGTTCTCTATGCTAAGCTGTGTGCCGGGCCCCGTTCTGGGGGGCCTGGGCAGGGAGACTAGTCTGCCCCCCGAGGAAAGAGTCCTGAGGCTGGCTCAAGGGGTTAGGACGGAACTGGGAGGCCAGGGTCATTCCAGATGCTCCTAGGGGACAAGTAGGGGTTGTGACCGCAAAGATGGAGGATGCCATGGTTACCTGTCCCGACCTCTGTGGCTTGGCCTCCTCCTCAGGAAGGCTGCGGGATGACCCCAAATGCCAACCCGTCCCAAATTTACAACATCGACCCCTCCCGCTTTGAAGACCTCAACCTGGCCGGGACAGCAGAGGTGGGGCTTGCAGGTGAGCACCTGCCTGGGGCCAGGGGCAGTGAGTCCACCTCCAGGGCCCTCAGAGCAGGAGGGATTATAGGGGGACGACTTGGAGCATCCTGAGCGGGGCAGCCGCCTGCCCAGGACACCTCAGCAACCCCAGGGCCGGACAGGTGCAGACGTCAGGCCGTCGACTGCGCCCCGACGGGAGGTTGCATCTGCCAGAGGGGACACCTTTTCTGATCCTCTCAGAAGTTGCCTATGGTTGGAAGGCAGCCCTGGCTGATCCATTCTGTCCCTCTCTCCTTCCAGGCTACTTCATGGACCATTCCGTGGCCTTCAGGGACCTGCCCATCAGGTGATGCCCAGCTCCTGTAGACCTTGTCCCCACCTGTGACATTCCCTCTCCCTTCCCTGACCTCCCCTGCTCCCCCCCCCCAGAATGGTTTGTTCCAGTACCTGCTACCGGGCAGAGACCGACACAGGGAAGGAGCCGTGGGGGCTGTACCGAGTGCACCACTTCACCAAGGTTGGCATAGCAGGCGCTTTGGGGGGGTCACCCCCACAGCCCAGGGTCTCCTGACTCCTGTGCCCCTGCTCTGCCCCAGGTGGAGATGTTTGGGGTGACAGGCCCAGGACTGGAACAGAGCTCACAGCTGCTGGAGGAGTTTCTGTCCTTACAGATGGAGATCTTGACAGAGCTGGGCTTGCACTTCCGGTGCGGAGGGGGCGGCTGCGGTGGAGGGTGAGGGGGGCGAGGAGGTAGATGCTGGGCTGATGCTTCTCCATTTTGAAAGTCCTCCCCACTTCTCCCCCACCTTCTTTTCCCTGTATTACCATTGTATATAGGCTCTCTGCCTGTCAACCTCTGAAGTCTTCATTAGGGTTATGGGGTTGTAACCACAGCTTAAGCAGCACAGGGTCGAGACCCAGGCCCCTTCCTCCCTGTTGCTCCCCATCCCTAGGGTGCTGCCTCCCATGCGTGGTCCCTGCCGGCTCCTCCTGGCCCCATGAGAAGGGGACACGCCCCTGAGTGTTGGATGCCTACTTCCCCTCTCACCACCAGTCACATGTAGCTTTCAAAAGACACAGAAATGCAAACATCTTTCTGCATGACCCACTACAAAAATTGGGGGTGCTGTTATTACAGTGTGACTGGCTGTGGTGAACAGCCTGGAGATATGGCCACGTGCCTTTTCTCCTCCCTGGCCTCCTCTCCCATCAGCTCCTTCCTGTCCCTCCTCCTGTATCTGCTTCTCCATCACCAGCCCCTGCCTCAAGGAGGTGTCCCCTCTGCCACTATCTTTTTTGTTACTTCCATTGCCCACTTTTTTGGCTACCTTCTCTTCCATCGTTTCCATTTTTTCTCTCCTCACCCTGAACCTCGCCTTGTCTTTCTCCATGGCTGCAGGGTCCTGGACATGCCCACCCAAGAACTAGGCCTTCCTGCCTACCGCAAGTTCGACATTGAGGCCTGGATGCCAGGCCGGGGTCGCTTTGGCGAGGTGAGCCCCGGCTCCGGTGGGGACACAGGGTGGAAGGTGGATGACATCACCCCCCACAGCTGATGCCCTCAGCCCAACCCCACCCCTTTGTCCAGGTCACCAGTGCTTCCAACTGCACGGACTTCCAGAGCCGCCGCCTCCACATCATGTTCCAGACGGAGGCTGGGGAGCTGCAGTTTGCCCACACGGTGAGTGCCTGCACCTCCCCACACCCACACCACTTCCCACACGGCCTCAGCCCCTCCCTGGGAGGCCTGGCGGGCCCCTGTCTGAGCGTGGCCCTCTCCCAGGTGAATGCCACCGCCTGTGCTGTCCCCCGCCTGCTCATCGCCCTCCTGGAGAGCAATCAGCAAAAGGTGAGGGGCCGAAGGATTGCGCCCAGAGGGACAGAGGGCAGAGGGCTCATGCAGCGGCAGTGGCCTGAGGTCTGCTCTGTCCCCAGGACGGCTCAGTCCTCGTGCCACCTGCCCTCCAGCCCTACCTCGGCACTGATAGGATCACAGCCCCCACCCACGTGCCTCTCCAGTACATCGGGCCCAACCAGCGCCAGAAGCCCAGGCTCCCGGGACAGCCTGTCTTGAGCTGAGGACTCATCAGCCACCAGGGTTATTGCTGCTTCTTGGACCTCAGGGGACCCCGGGTCCCTGGGACCTGTTGTCCTGGGACCATCCTGACATCTGTGTGCCTCACACCAGCTCCACGCCTAGGCCTGTGGACTCCAGGGTCCACCTCCCCCCTTCCCTATTTCCGCAGAATCAGTCAGTGACCCTGTTGTCACTGGGGGTCCCAGCCTGTACTTGGAAACAGAACATCCGGAGACCTGAAGGCTGTAGGGGTGGGGGAAGGAGAGAGGCCTCCAAGCTTCCTTCCTTCTCCCCTCCCCACCTCAGTGCTTAACAGATGGTCCCCAATAAATGGTCAGAACAACAGCCTTTGTGAATCTGTGAGCAAAGGAGATAGTCCTGGCCAGCTTGCGGGGGGTACTGGGCAATTGCTCAGAAGTGCTCAGTCATCAAAGGGCCGTTGCTGGAAGTGTCCAGCAACTTCCAGGGCACCTGGACAGTAGCTTGGGGGCCGCCAGGGGAGCTGAGAGGATGCCGAGGTCTCTCCCCTTACTTTAGGACAGTGGCATCTCATGCTTACCTATTTCACCCTCATCCCCTTGGTTTCCAGCTTCAGGCCGGGGGCCAGTAGGCAGTACAAACAGTGAAACCAAAACTTGCTCTTCACCCAGGCGTGCCCTGCAGTGCATGGAGCCGTTTTCCCAGCTCCTCTGGCCACAGCCCTGCAGGACATCCTCACTCCACTTACATTCACATCCACTCGATCTGCACGGCTCCACCTTCGAAATACTCCCAGATCCCGCCCCCTGTCTCTCATCCCTGGCTCCTCCATGGTCCTGTCCACCACTGTCTCCCACTTGGAGAGTCACGCAGCCTGTGCTGTCTCCCTGCTCCTTGTCCCACACAGCCCGAAGGACCCTGGGACACCAGCATCAGGCCATGCCCCTCCTGCCCAAAGCCCTCCTGTGGTTCCAGTCACTCAGGAAAGGACAGAGTTGTCACCGTGGCCCACAAGGTCCCACATGATCTGCTCCCCGCCTTTCTCTTCCACCCTCCCTCTCTCTGTCACACTGTGGTCGTTCAAAACTAGAACGACCCTAGATCTTGTGTGGTTGCTCCGTTTTCATCACTCAAGTCTCTGCCCAAGTGTCACCTCAGAGAGGACTACCCTGAGCTTCCTGGCCACAAAGGAAAACCCCCAGCACCCAGTGAAGCACTCACACACATGTAACCCCACAGTCCCTCCCTTCCTCCCTCCTTACATACCGTGTGATTATTTGAGTGTCCTCTGCCATCCCGTTTTCAAATGTCTGTGCCTTCACTGCAGCAGCCTCTGGGTCTACAAGAGGGTCAGGCACGTAGTAGGTGCTCAACAAAAATTACAGCACTGAAGGTGCTACAACCTGAGCAGTTCCCCACACCCAGAACTGCCTGTCAGCGTATACACACGTTCATTTATTTAATCCTCACCATCAAGCCTCAGCCACAGAGTAAGTTGTCACCAGCCCTATTTTATAAATGGAGAAACAGGTCTCAGAGAGGTGAAGCAATTGTCCCGGGACTGCAGGGCTGGCAGCTGTGGAGCTGCGAGTCAGGAGGAGCCCAGCCACAACCTCAGGAAACAGGTTTGAGGCCCGCTTTCCAGATGAGGAAACGGGCCAAGGAAGGGTAGGGGTTGCGTGAGGTCGGTCAGTAAGTGGCCGCTGCTGGATTTGAACCCAGCCCTGCCTCCCAGCGACGGCTTAAGCTTGTCAGTCGTTTCTCTGGGGAAACCTACTTCCATCTCGCCCCTCCCCCGCCCCCCCCGCGCACCCTCCCATCCTGATGCTGAGGCGCCAAAAAGCAGGAGGGGAGCGGGCGCAGGGCGTGGGTCCCCATGAATAATTGAGGGTCTCGGGCAGGTCGGGCGCCCCGCAGCTGTTGTCCAGCCTCGGGCAGGGAGGGGGCGGCAGTGACGTCACTTCCTCCCTCACGGAGGCCAGGGGCGCGGGTTATAAGGACCTGCCACCCGGTTCTTCATAGCACCAGGTCCCTGGTTGGGAAGCCTCACCATGCCGCTGCACTGTGGGCGCTCGGTGCTGCAGGTGCTGCCGCTGTCCCCGCTGCTGGTGCTGCTGCTGGGGGCGTGTGAGTGCCAGAAACCGGGGAGGGGGCACCTCGGTGGTGGTCTGGGAGCAGGGACTCGGGTGGGGGGGGCTGGGACAGTGCCCCCCACGGGGTCGGATGACGGACTTCATGGGCCGAGTTTCCCGTGGGGACAGTGCACCTGGCAGGTGAACTGGGGAGAAGACTGTGGGTACCAGGACGCCCTTGGCGCTTGGATCAGCATCGGGGACAGTGCCGGGGTCTTGAGCCCCGTTCCCACCTCCTTCCTCCACAGCCTCCGCTGCTCCATTGGCACCGAGGCCTTCCAAGGAGGAGGTAAGGAGTGTGGACCCCCTGCCCTGGCTCACACCCCAGGGGCCCTGACCATTCCTGCCCAGCCTCCCCCACGGTCATCTCCTCTGTAGCTGCTCTCCTTACCCCCACCTGCCCTAACCTCAGGTTCCCCTCTGACCCTTCACCCTTAGCTGACCCGCTGTCTGGCAGAGGTGGTCACAGAAGTGCTGACCCTGGGTCAGGCCCAGCGAGGCCCTTGCACAACTCTCCTCCACAAAGGTAAGGAGGGCCCAGGCTCCAGTTCCTCTGGGAGCTCCCACCCCACCTGGCATTGTTCCAGGCTGCCTGGAGGGTGTCCTCTTATCCCCAACCATTCCTGGCCTCCTCCACTCACCTCCCTCTCCAAAGCCTCTTCCCTCTCCTCCTGCTTGGGCTCCATTTTGGGCTGGTGGGGGTGACACCAGTCACCGCCAAGTCCTCGTGTCCTCTCTTCTCCCAGCATGTCCAGCCTGGCCCCAGCCCACCCTGGGGACTCCCCTACAGTGGTCCGGGAGTGGGGCAATGTCCTCAGCACCTGACCCTCCTCTCCCAGTTCTGGGTGGTCCCCCGGTGGGGCTCTGGGTGGGCCCCAGAACTCCAGATGTTTCCCAACTGGCCATATGAAGAGCATCCTTTCTCTTTCCACCAGAGATGTGTGAGACAGGACCCTACAGCTGTGTATCCACTGAGGAAAAAGGCCTGCTGGTTGGAGATTTCAAGAAGCGGGAGACTGGGAAGATGAGGTCCAGCCAGGAGGTGAGGGATGAGGAAGAGGAGGAGGCAGCGGAGAAGATCCACAAGTCTGAAGTGCAGGAACAGGCAATCCGCAAGCAGCTCCACAGCCAGCTCCGCCAGGAGGAAGACCGTGAAGAGGAGGAGGGGGAAAAGAAGAGGGTGCCCTCGGAGACCTTTGAGGGCCTGTGGAAGCAGCAGCTAGAGGATGGAGGTGGCCCCCAGAAGCGGGTGGCAGAGCAGGCCAGTGACGAGGAGGCAGCCCAGTTCGAGGCTGAGAAGGGCATGCAGGTGCTGGGCGGGGGCCACAGCCTGTGGAAGGGGGCAGAGGGCAGGGGAAGAGAGAGGCACGAGGACCTGCTGCACCACCACCACCGCCTGCCGGAAACTGAGCCCAAGCAGGAGAAGGCAGAGGCTGCGGTGAGGGAGGTGAGCAGAGGAGGCAGTGGGGAGCGGGGTAGACCCGTCAGTGGGGCTCCTGCCACACAGCTACCAGCCAGTGTTGGACCATAAATAGTAAGGCCCACCATGAAAGGGTCACAGTGACCAGGACTAGACAGGAACATCCAAGCAGGGCCACTACCAGACCAAGATGGTTTCCACTCTCATTATAGCAACCTGGACGGCCGTCATTAGTGCACAGAAGTGTCTCGATTAGCCACCATTGCTAGTCCCCAACAACCAAATTGGCCACACGAATAGGCTGATGCTGTGCCTGGTTCACTGCACTGTACATGGGCACTACTGTAGAAAGCAGGGTGTCTCCATGATTGGCGGCCGTAACCGAAATGGCCATCCGCTCCCAAATGGGTTATGGCATCCCAGTTGGCACCTCTGCTGGTCCTATGTCTGCTGCTGTTGGCTGTGGCGGTCACCGTAGGCCTCACCACTGGTCACGCTGGCCAACATTACTCTTCTGGGACTATGGCAACCACTGTGGTCACTATCACAGCCCATGATGACCACTGCTGGCTGCCACTATGCAAGCTGACATGGCCCCCATTCACAGGTGACCACGGAGGAGACCTGCCTCTGGCGGGCACTGACCACCCCATTTCTGATCCCACCAGGAGCAGGACGCAGAGCGGCTGGAGCATGTGAGAGAGGAGCTGAAGAAAGCTGCAGAGGTGCTGAGGCAAGAGCTCTGGCGGGAAGGCTGACCCCTGACCTTGTGCCCTCCTTCCTGACACACCCCGTGGCTTAGGACTGTTGACCCCCAAAGCCCCCACCTCACCAGGTGCCCGCTCCACTCCCAACCTGCAGGGGTGTGAGGGGGGTGTGCCTTGGAGCCAGGCCTGAGGGGCCGAGTCTGCGCTGGAGAGAAGGGCTGGCTCAGACCGACTCAGGAGACACTCCGCCCCCCACGAAACCCACTCCCACCCTTCTGAGTGAATAAAGCACAAAGCAAACCACCAGGGCTTACTGTGTAGCACTCGATTTGGGACGGGTGGGGCCCAGGAGTAAACTGGAAGACTGGGAAGGCAACAGTCAATCTAGTCTCTGGTTGTCAGAACTGGGATTTTATTACATGGGAAATTCTATTAACAACTGAGTCAGACAGGGTCGTCAGGGAGAGGTTTGGAGGCTTGGGTAGGAGGTATCCGATTTGCGGTCCGGCCGCTGTGGACCACGATGTCGTCATATTCATCCTGCAGGCAGAGCAGGCCAAACAGAAGGGCTCAGGTGGTTGCCACCTTGCCCGCTGCCCAATTTCTCCCACTCACCCAAAAAAATGGGTCTTGTCCTGAAACCCAAGTTTCCCTGCTTGTAGTTCAACTTCCCAGCTCCTGGTCCTCCACCCACCAACTTCAAGGCTGGCTGGGTTCTCCCACGGCTACCGCTGGGGCTCTAGCCCGGCTGCTTCTCCAGTCCTTTAGTGGCCACAGCCACTGAGGTCTCCCTCCCCTGCCCCTTCCCTCTGCCTTTACCCAAATTCCTCAGTCCCTCCATCCAACATCACCCCCTGCCCAAAGTAGCGGCCTGGGTTCTCCAAGGAAACATCCTCACCGCTGGCCAAGGTCTTTCCCTACTACTGCCAGGGTCCAAATCACTGCTGCCCAAGGTCATCTTCCCACAGCCTGAGCACTGCCCATGCTGCTACTTGCTCACTGCTGCCTACTCATCGGTCACCACAGCCGAGGTCTTTTCTCTCCCTCTGCCTGAGCTGCCCTCTGCCATTGCTTTAACTTCTCAACAACCACAACCCGAGTCCTTGCCACCCCCCACAACCGCCCCCCCACTGTCCGGCTCACTGGGCACTGCTGGCCTGAGTTCTCTAATCACAGCAGCCCAAGCTGCCTCAGCGTGTTGCCTGATTTCCCCTACTGAGGACATTCCACCTGACCGTCTACCCTGAGCCCCCCCGCTGGGCTGCCCAGCCTCTCCTCCTGACTCACGGCCTCATCCCTGCTGTCGCTGTCACTACTGCTGCTGCAGGGGCCAGGCTTGTCATCCTCATCCTCAGGTTCAGGGGCACCGTGCGCACGCAGGAGGCGGGCGAGGATGGGGTTGGGCCGGAGCATGGCGCTGCCCAGTGGGGTGCGGCCACCATACATGCGGGCAGCAGGGTCAGCGCCTGCCTTCAAAAGAAGCTCCAGCACATCGGCTGCTTGGGCCTCCACTGCCAAGTGCAGGGGGCTCCGGCCGCAGGTGGGCTCCTGTGGGGTAGAGCAGAGAGGTCATAGGAAGCCCTGTCCCACCCTGGGGACAGCCCCATCCTGCCACCCTTCTCCCTGGGGAGGCTCACCGGTTTGTTGAGGTCAGCTCCGGCCTCCCGGAGCAGTCGGACCATCTCTGCATCTTTGTGGATGATGGCCACATGGAGTGGGGTGTGGCCTGGGGACAGAGCGACTGATGTCAGATGAGGAGGGTGAGGGGCCTGGGTACCCAACGCCATGATCCTGGGAGAGGGCTTTGTGGCCTGAGGGTGACCAAGCTTAGGGTCTGGCTCCTGAATTGCTGGGTATGTCACAGAGCCACCTGCACTGTAAATGCCTAAGTCTCAGTGGACTGACAGTGGCTGGCGGTGCCAGTGCCTTGGCTGTGCAGTGTCTGGGGCCCAACGACTGAAAAGCCTGTGGCTATAGACGGAAGGCCTGGATCTTGGGGCCAGGAGCCGTGAGTCTCTGGTCTTACTTCACAAAGAACCTGGAACCCAAATTCCTGGGTCCTGAGTGGTTGAAGGGCCTGTAAGTTTGGAGGCCTGGGGTAGGCCCTAAACACAGACTGGGTATTAAATGACCTCAGGCTCCTTGTGAAGGGGCCTGGTCCCAGGTGGCTGGACTTGCAGATGGGAGAGCTGAGACCCAGGCACCAGGGCCCTGGGTAGACAGTCTTTCATCCCATGAGGACTGGCTGCAGATGGCTGTCCCTGAACTCCAGTGTCAATCTCTGGGAACCTGGGCTGCCAGAATTTCAGAGGGCCTGGGCCTACAGTTCCATCATCCTGGGTGGGCTAGGACCCATGGCTGAGGGTAGGGGGGTGTCCAGGGTGAGTTGTGCCTTCCGGCTATGGAGACTGGGCCCAACACCTGGATTTGGCCTAGTAGCTCTGCCCTGTGGGTTACAAGTGACCTGGAGGCTTCAGGTGGGGGTCCTGGGTCCCATGTGGCCAATTCTCAATAATCTGGGTCCTCAGCAGGCCTCTTTGGTCCCAATGCCTGGGTCCCTGAAGCCTCAGTCTTATTTCCCAGGGCACTGGATGTTGAGTCAGGAGAGCTGAGCCCAGAGCCGGGTGCTGTCACCTGGCCCTTCTCAGTGACTGTGAACGCTCACCGTGGTAGTTTTCAGCCTCCAGCTGCAGCTTCCAGTCCTCATTCTTATCCTTTTCCTTCTCCAAGTCGGATTCGGGGTATGAGGCAACAGAGGTGCGGCTGGTGTCAGGGCTGTGGTCCAGGCCCTGAGTGAGGTAGGTGCTGGGGGCTTCCCTGGGGCGCTGGGGGCGGGGCTGGAGCAGCACTCGAGCACAGGCGTGTGCCCCCACACGGCAGGCCAGGTGCAGAGCTGTATGGCCCCCACGCTCTGCCACGTGCAATCCGGAGCCTGCCATGTACAACTTCTCCACTGTGGATGCCTCCCCCAGGATGGCTGCCAGGTGCAGGGCTGTCTGCAGGAGCAGAGTGCAGAGGTTAGGAGTCGCACTGAGAATCCTGGCCCCAAGCTTTGCACTGTCCTCCAGTGGCTCACCTGGCCCAGGTCATTCTGCAGGTCCAGGTACTCAGTGCCAGCCACATAGCCCAGGAGGAAATCCAGGAAGGGCTCATGCTGATGAATCACAGCCAAGTGCAGGGCCCTGAGAACAAGGACAGGCATCAGAAGACAGAGGTCAAGTACTCTCACATTTACTCATTCAGTACACACAGAGCACCCACTGTGTGCTAGCCATTGTGACCGCAACTCTGGAACCAGCTGTCAGGAATCTCAGAGGGTCAGGTAAGAGTTAACTCAGAAAATGTGTTTAATCAATGTTTATTAAGTAGGACTTCTACCTCCCCTCAAACATGGACCAGATTTCCCTCCTATCTGAATCAGCCAACAAATCAAACAAAACATAGTATACAAAAAACAGCTTCTTTCTTTTTTTTTTTAAGATTTTATTTATTTTTAGAGACGGGAAGGGAGGGAAAGAGAGAGAGAAACATCAATGTGTGGTTGCCTCTCGTGTGGCCCCCACTGGGGACCTGGCCCGCAACTCAGGCATGTGCCCTGACTGGGAATCGAACCTATGACCCTTTCGTTCTCAGTCCACACTCAATCCACTGAGCTATGCCAGCCAGGGCCCTTTCTTTCTTTTTTTGTATGAAACAACAGTTTTCAAGATATTAGACGTCATGTAATGAATGATAGGGAGAGACAGGAAATAAACAAGGTGAACCCTTCAACTAACTACCACAGCTTACTGTTTTGAGAGTTTCCATGCCACAGTGCAGGGAGGCTCTGGGTGAGGAGATGGAGCTGAGTTTGGAGGGAGCCAGGTAGCCAAGGTCAGAGGATAGAGAACCCGAAAGGAGGGATGTACAGAGAGAGACCCGGACGTCTGCAGAGGGGCCTCTCCTGTATTTAGGAGGATACTGATCAGGGCCTGGGTGTGAGGAAACTACCCAGGTGTGGGGAAGTATCATCCAAAAGCACCAGAGAAACACGCCCATTGCTCACCTGAGACTGGGAATGGCAGCTGTCCCCACCAGCCAGACTAGGAAAACCCCATCCTTCACAGGACACTGAGTAGAACAGTCCAGAAAGTCTTACCTCAGTAGTGGGGAACAATGAGCACTAGAGGGAACACTGTTCAGGATGCACTTAACAAGTCATAAAAGCAAAATCAAACTACTTACAAGTTATTTAGCTGAAACCCAGAACAATACTCCAGAATATTTACAGGAACACAAACTAACCAGCCTAACAAGGTAAATTCCACAATGTCTGACATTGAATCAAAGATGATCAGGCATGCAAAGAGGCAGGAGTACATGATCCGTAATCAGAATTATCGATTGACTGAAGTTGACCTAGAAGTGATCCGGATGTTAGAATTAGCAAACAAGAATATTAAAACAGTTCATTAACTCTATCTCGCACATTCCAAAAGTTAAGACATGGATGATAAAAGAAAAAGACTCCAGCCTTTGCCGGGTGGCTCAGTTGGTTGGAGTGTCATCCTGTGCACCAAAGGTTGTGGGTTTGATCCCTGGCTGAAGAATGCAAAGAAGATAACAGACCAATGTTTCTCTCTCTCTCTCTTTCTCTCTCTCTCTCTCTCCCCTCCTACTCCCTTTTTCCCTTTCTAAAATGAATAAAAACACTTCCAGTCAACATGGCACATAGGTAAACACGGCTCATCTCCTCGCACAACCACATCAAAATTACAACTAACATATAGAACAATCATCACTTAGAACCATCAGAAATCAAGTTGAATGGAAGTCTGACAACTGCGGAATTAAAGAAACCACAGCCATCCAGACTGGTACGAGGGGTGCAGATGTGGAATGGGCTGGTCCCACATCCACGTGTGGTGGATAAAAATTCAGGAGGAATATCTTGGGAGCGAGGAGTCCCAGCCCCACACCATGCCCCTCAGCCCAGAATTCCAATGCCAAGAAGATAAGCCCCTATAATTTCTCGCTGCAAAAACCAGTGGGGACTGAGTAGGTAGAAGAAACTTCTGGAGTCCCAAGCAGTTCTTCTTAAAGACACCACACACAGATTTAATCAGACTCACTCCTTCTGAGCACCAGCACTGGGGTAGCAGCCTGAAAGGCACCATGGCATACAGGGAGAAAGTGAAGAGTCTGGCATCAAAGCGAGAGGTGGGGGAGATCCTTCTGCCAGACAGAAAGGTGGGCAGAGGCCATTGTCCCTTTTCTGAACCCTCCCTCTACAAAGCCAGACAGC